TTTAATAAGTAGGCTATATTGTTCTGTATACAAAGTGTAATATATACAAATGTTCTCAGTCAGCAGGTTGACAGTTTTAGGAGCTGCTTGAGGAGAACTTCCTCGTTCTCCTCCTCATCCTCTTCTTTGAAATAAAGATAAAAAAATCAACATCCAGCATCCATTAGCTTTCTGCTTACATATCACGCCCCGCCTGTATAATGGTAGGGGAAACACTGGTGTAGTAGACTGTGCATCATTGTGCTGGAGGGTCAGAGCTACATGCATCTGGCAATGGGGGTTGGGTTTACTGGTAAAAAGGGGGTGTTAGAAGTCTGAACCCCTCTGTAAAGCTTTCGTGTGGCCAGCCAGACAGCACAGGCTAAAAATCTGAGTGTGCATTCCAATCAAATGCTGAAATATAGACTTTAGCTCACCTCGATCCTCCTTCTCTTCCTCCTACACACAAACTTCATCACTACATGTCCACAAATGGCATGTCTTGGTTTTAAGCAAAGAGCGGATCAGCTTTATACCCTGTACTTTTTTTGTGGGGTAAAGTGCTGATTCCAAACCTCACACCAAAAAAGCTCAGCAAAAAATAATAATCAACTTCAAAAATAATAATTAGTTAACCCATAATTACAATAAAACATACAGCACAACACTCACATTCTCATAGTCCTTCATGGTGAGAGCTTTGATGGGTGACATCGTATCAGGGAGGAATGGAGCTGTAAAACAACGATATATGTACAGCTTTCTAAGTCACAGCTTCAGTAGAGTATTTGTAGCACAGAATCCATCTTGTTCATATGCTTATGATAGCTTATGCTATCTTTTACATTTACCCTCATCCTGATAATTTTAGAGAGAGAAGGGAAAGTAGTTATTTTTTTATTGCAGAGATGCTCAGGGTGAAACAGCTTCTGGAGAGCTGCCCTGTTTAGACCAAGTGACGCAGTTCAAAACTGATCATGTAACAGCATGATCAACAACTCATTTCACAACACACCAGTCTTGACTCAAACAGTTTGGTACTGGTTGACAGGAAGCATCCCATTACACAGCTCTCTCAGTCGCTTTTGTTTATACATTCAGTAGCTGTTACATATATCTATATTTTCTTAAGTATATATAAAAGCATTCAGTGTAAACATAAGTCCAAATCTTTAGAGATTATGTTCATTATCTATAGTTACTTCTTCCAAAATTCCTGGATGTTTCTTATATCTGCAGCAACACAAAAAAATACCAAGAGTTTACTCTAGTTTCCATAAAATAGTCTGACACTATTAAGAATGGTCTGAATTACCATGTATTTGTTCAAATTTTTTCCATGTATTTCGAAATTTGTAATCTGAGCTATCAGATTTAATTTTATACAACAGAAGTACTCAAGAAAATACATTTTATAAACTGCTCACAATATTATATTATACAGATTGCTTGTAGTCAAGACAGACAAACTATTTTGTGCCTTTTGTATAAAAAAAACTATGTTGAAAAACGTGCAGTCTTTAGGTAAATTTAAACCTTGCAATAAATATACCACAGTCACTAGAAGGGGTGTAACAATACATCGATCCACATCGATGCATCAATTAAATGATAATAATTGAGTTACATCGAGGCAAAACTAAAACATTGATCCATATTGTGATCATATGCACAAATCTATGTCAAATGCCCATCATACACAATCATTGTGTTAGATGGGTATTTATATCACAGTGATCACAAACTTGTGAATGAAAATTTTATCATAACAGACTTTGTGATATGAAACATTGCATGATCATCTAAACAAATCAATATAATGTCACATTGTGATAAAGCTACTGATTTACATCGCCTGTCATTAGTGCCTGCCTGCGTATTTATTTATACTACATATGATGCTGGCTTATTTCAGTAATAAGCTCTTTATTTACTTGCGCTTAACAGTCTTTAGACCTAAAGTAGACTGTTGCAAATTACAGAGTCTAACAAAAAAAATGGGCTTAGTTTATTTTCATCAGGCACTAAGTTCCTCATCACAGCTTTGGAGACAAAGCGGTGGGAGGGAGGGAACATAAAATTTAAGAGCAGCATTAATTAATCCACATGAGATTCACACACCTGAGCAAGAAAATGAACAAAGGGGGAAAAAATTAAAGGCCTTACAGTACCTGTCATGCTGTCTGTAGAATTCTCTCCAGCGTTTATCGAGTCTGGCAGTCTGCAGCTGGGGACAAATTAATCTGTTTATTATGCTATGTTCACCCATTTGTAGCAAATATTTAGTAAAATCATTCTAACCTCTCCCTAAAACAAAACAAATATTTGAAAAGTAATAATAGACATTAAATCGAAACACAAGAATCAAATTAAGCTCTGCTCTGAGTGGATACAGAATGGTATGGTTTTTGATAAACATGAATGCATGCTGTCTGTGCATTACTCACAGTGGCCGGCTCCACTGAACCCCGAGGACGCTCCAAAAATAGCTTAGAATGACTCTGCTTCATCTACATCTACATCTACATAGCCTCCTGTGTTTGTGTTTGTGAGTGTGTTATGTTTCTCTATTTGAGGATCATAGAACTGGGCTTAAAATCGTAGTTGTAAAGTTTGATGGGTATGTAGGGACAAGACTACTGAGAATCAAAGGAGTCGGAATCTTTGGCTGTGATACTTACGGCTAAAATAAGGGTTGATATTAAGGTTGATATTGATGCCAGAACCTTTCAAAGACAGACAAACAAAGATGTGCTGTGCTTCTCTGTGTGTGATACCACTTGCTAGGAGCAGCCTAGCTGTCATGCTCAAACAGCCAATAGAAGAGAAAAACAGTCACAAAGAGGTTGGAAGGAGCCTTCAGTGCTAGACAAACAGACTACTGTGGCTCAGGATTAGCTAAGCATCACACAGTGATCGGACAGTACTCTTTTCATTCAGTACAATACACAAAGCAACAGCAACACACATCTGGACCCAACCAAACCTTTTAAATATTATAGTATTGTAAAAAAAAAAAAAAAAAAGAACAGTCTTCCATGAAGATGAAATAAGCAGTATATATTTACATATATTTAACACATCAACATAAAACATATGGATCCAAGTTCATAGTCCGCATCCTGACCTTCATATTTACAAATATAAAGCACTAACTTCCTCTCAAAACCCTGCTGTCAGTGGTTACTTTGGTTTGACTCTGAACAAAGCTATACAAAATAAAAAAACATCTCTTTTTGCCATCATGTTGTCATCATCATATGAAATGGTTTTAAAACAATTCATTAAAATTAGCATTTTTTTTTTAATTTATCCTTTGAGAAACTGAAAGAATTAGACAAATTCGTCTCCTAACCTAGTGTGTATAGTTCAGGTCTTTTCTCAGCCTTTCTGTGATTATAAGGAATCTGAATATTCCCAACAACAGGCACATGCTGTATGTAAACATGTTAACATAATACATCTCTTCCCTGTTTTTGTTCCGTTTTGACACAATACAAAACCTAAAAGAAAGCTGTGTTAAACACAACAATAAATTGCAATGACAAGAAATTTCAGTGATGGCCTGAAATATCTGTGGAATAATCATCAGAATGCTTTTTATTGTTTAATAGTTCTAGATGACACAAGAGGAGCTGACAAAACTACCCAAATAGGTATTCTTCACAAAACACTGAAGGTTAATAACACTGTGCTGACAGCCATTGATTGCATCATTGAGGTTTCACATGCCAAGCAACCTCTTCCTGTGTAAACGAAGAGGCAGCACACTACAACAAAAGCAGTCATTTCAGCAAAAGCACCAATCACAACAACATGAAACAATAGTAGGCAATAAATATCTAGCTTATTAAAACAAAAAAAGATAAAGGGCATAACAATCGGTTCCTATCACAGTTATTGACAGCATTTTGTCAGTAGTAAAGTTGTAATAACCCCTCCAGCACACAGTGGAAACAATGAAAGAGCATGTAAACAGTAACTTCCTCTTTTTCTCTCTTTGCTCAGCTGCTCGTCAAACAGAAAACCAGCAAAGCGCACATCACTTTCAGGAAATAATGGTGGACATTAAAACAGTAATAACTGCGTGTGCCGCATCTTTTATAAAATGAAAATGTAAAGTGAGTCCGGTTGCAGAATTACCCAATAAGTAATTTACACCCCACATATCAGCTAACATCTTGGATTACTAAGGCACACCTACCACCTGGAAGACCACTTTTTCACAAAACACAGCTGGACTAATATGTCATAAGCAGGGGCAAGAACTACAAGACACTAAAATATAAACAACAGGGATGCTGTAACTAGCCTTTCAGTGGTAGGAAAAGTCACATAAACTTTAGACCTACAATCAACAAACACCGTCAAGAAATCACATTTGGACAAAGCCAATAATAATGCAAACTTCACCTACCAAAATCACATTCTTCTTTCATGCCATCGAGGAAAAGCATTATAATACAGCATGTTAACATGTCACTTGAAAGTAGACAGTCGTCGCTACTGCAATACGAGCTCATATAATTTCCGCTTTAATACATTTGAATGACAGCTCAAAAACCTACCAATCGCAGCAATATATCACAGCAGCAGCCAATGACTGAGCTGAGAATGACTTACTGTAATAAGTAGTAATAGTCTAATGATAACTTAAAAACATAAGGCTTTAATTGTTTATATTTGCCATTATTGCTATTTTTATCATTATTTATGACGTATCTAAAAACTTGCACCTACCATTACTACGTTAGTAATAGACTTTATTTTATTTGCTTACTTACAACATTTCAAGGAGTGGCGCAATCCGTTGTTTCTTAGCTTTGGGTAGCTTATATTAAGGAGTGGGTACCCAAAACCTTCATTTTTACGGCAAAGACGCGTAAAATGTTTGAGAAAACTGCAGCAACTCATATTAACGTGGTAAAGCAAAAGAAAAACATTGAGTGGGTCTTATTTTCACGAGGCGCTTTAATCCAGCAACACAATCAGTTGAAATGCTTCTATTTTAAACACTTAACACTTAACCACACGTGTAAAATGCTGCTTTTTGTTTTGTCTGCTAAAGCACCACACAACAATTTCGACTTGCTGCTAGCTAGCTAAGCTAGCCATAGCTCGCTAGCTATCGCTGTTTCATGTTTTACCTTCCGTTGATGTCTACAGGGAGCGTCAAGTCGTCCCCCACGACAGAATCGCTTCGGTCCATTATCGCAGCTCAGTTATATCCTGTTTTCGCCAATAAAATGTGTCATTTTACCACCTAAAGGCTGTATAAACTTCGAATAGCGGTTCCAAATTCAAAACAGGTCAGGCTACCGCCATTATGATATGGTAAACGTCACCATTGTGCACGTTGAAAAATCAGGCTGCGTTCAGGTGGTGTAGGACTTTTTTGTTGACAATTTGTTTTGAACCCTTTAATTGGAAAAAATCAGACGATTTTATTTTTAAAATAACTCAAAACGTGATGTATGTAATAAATCTGTCTCAAATTATGCATATTCGTGATAGTCAATAGATATATTGTTGCAAAGTATCTCAAAGTTTCAAATTTTCGAGTATTTAGAAAGTCGGCATCAAGCTGGGTGGATAAAGACGAAAACCTATTGGCCAAAGCAAACAAACAAGGCGGGTTTTAAGGGCTCAAAAATACCTGCGCTGTCCTTTACAATATTTTCATCTTGGAAGAACCTTCGTGGGTTACTTCATTTGTGAGACGAAATATCCCAAAAGTGACCTTTTTATTTTTAATTAAACACTGTTCTTTAAATACCGAGTTTTTTCTTCTTCGTATTTTCAAGGTCAGATACACAACACAATCCAAAACCTGATGTTTACATTCTTGTTGACACAAAGGTTCCCGCGAACAAATTATTTAAGTAAGTAGGTAAATCAAATTATTTCCATAGGAAAGCATTTTACTCAAAGCTACTCACAAGCATTTTCGTTTTTGTTTCACTTTCTTTGAGCATGATCTGAAAGTGCAACAAAGTATGCTGTAATTATTATTTTTGTTATAATTATTGTTGTTTAATTTGTTCATCTAAATGTTTTGAATTTTTTATGTAGGCTAATGAATATGGTGACTGGGGTGTTTTGAAATAGCCTATAATTAACACCGGATCCGGTAAAAAACGGTAATGACATAATTGTTTTTGGCCCAGCAGCGCACTAAAGTTTCCGAAAGTCATCAGCGCCATCTTGTGGTGAAATTTATAATTTCAGTCCAAATGAGGAACGTGTTTCTTCAGGTCAGTGGCCTTCAACGTTTCTCTGCACCAACACACCTGGTTTTGAATGAATAGGTCATTCACAGGCTTTTGGAGAAGTTTGTTGATGTACTGATTTCTAATTTGTTTTCTTTGTCTCTCTTACAGAGGGAAATACATCTCGGCAGATATTATAAGATTTCTTCTTCTGCTGCTGCCTTTCATTTTATTTGATTTTATTTTGATTGCATGTTTTTTGTACTTTGTTAATCTGTGTTACAAGTGAAATGAATAAAGAACTACTACTACATCTGGACCAGTGTGTGTCTCTTTCCTGTGCCCCCAAACCCAGTCAAGGCAGATGGCTGCCCATCCTAAGCCTAGTTCTGTGGTTTCCTGTTAGAAAGAAGTTTTTTCAATGTGCTGCAATTGGAGATTGTGATGAAGTGAAGATTCAATGCAATCTGCTGGCTTCCTTTATTGTTTTTTTTTTTTTTTTTTTGTACAGTGCCTTGTGACTTGGCACATATTCTTATTCCAAGGAGCTACAGTATGTTGTCGGGGGAAATTGCCTTTTGTACGGTCTCCCAAGTTGGTCCACGATGTGACACGCCAAAGAGTGAGTCAGAATACTTGTGTATGGATAAAAGACAACAGGGAGCTTGATGTCCCTCGCCCAGATGTGGGCTTCCAGTGCCTCACCCTGGAGCCAGCCCTGGGGGAGGGGCTTGTAGATGAATGCCAGGAGGTACAGGGAGCAAGGGGCTCAGCACAAATGATTTATATGGGTTTGTCTTACTGTGGACCCACTCACCACTTGCAGAAGAGACCAGACAAATTGGTTTCCTAGTGCCATAGCTGAAGGCAGGGGCCTTAGGTGTGGTGAGGATGGGCTCTGACACCTGTCAGTTTGGAGTACCCAGAGTTTCCTCAGTGAGGTTGCTGGAAGGTGGTTTATCTGAAGACTCCTTCATTCTGCCGATTCTGTTTATAACTTTTATGGAATGAACTTCTCTTCAGCCTGGACAGGGCGTTGAAGAGGACTTGTTTGGTGACCTCAGGATTTCGTCTCTGCATGTGGTCCTGCTGACCTCATTGTGCCGTGATCTCCAGCTCTGATATAGATCTAAACCTTGTTAAAAATACTTTGGTTGTGCTGGGGCAACAGCATAATGTAAATTACCAATGACAAAATATTTCAGTTCAAGACAAAAAAATGTAGCATTGCAGCCACAATGAAGTAATGCATGTGTTAAAAGTTCAACAGAACGTTCATGTGAGACCGTTTTTTGAGGGGGAATGTGGGTTATATCAAAATTTTATTTAATTGTAAATTTGCATTAGACGTTAAGAATTAGGCCCTTTCATTTGTCTTAATCCAATGCTTCAGTCTCTCTTTTGGGTTTCAAAGTTCTTTAATTGGGCTAAGAAATAAAAAAAATAAAAACCCACATACAAATTAAAAGTATTTATTGAACAAATGGACACTGAACAAGGACTTTAAAGTAAACAAAGGATGCATGCACCATGAAATGATCTTATTCGGAGTTTGATGACTTGCTGCAATTGTTGATATTTTTTAATGTTTTTCTTTTTATAAAATAAGCAATAGAAAATTTTTGCTCCAAGTCTCATGTAAAATTATGAGGTATTCTTAGCTTGTTCTCAAAATAGATTTACAAAAAGAAACCACTTTCACATATTTGCATAATTCTTTAAAACACAAGTTCTAGTGTAACACAATCCTCATACAGTACATGATTATCATAAAAAACGATAAAAAAGAAAGAAAAAAATAATAATATTGAATGAATTTATTCCAAATTTACACATAAAAAATCTATAAACTCCAAGACCAGTTGGGATAACATATATAATGTCAGAGAAATTTGTTTTGCTTCAAATATCAGAGATTTGCCCACTCTGCAACCACGTTAACATCATTAAATAACATTAAATTAGCAAAAGGGGATTTACTGTATACAGCAATGGTTACAATATTATACACACTTGTTTTCAAGCTACAACAAAGAGATATTTATAATTTTTTTATTGATAAAAATTTCTTCACTAGTTTCTAAAAATATCACATACAGCTCAGCGGAGCTTCTTATACACAAATAACTTCATTTCCAATAATCTTTTAAACCCTGTAATTTATAGCAGTAATCTGTTTTGGTATTTTTAGGAAAAAAATTTCAAATTAGGCAACTCTATAGTTGCATCAAACAAAACATTTAAAATAAACAACAGACGATGAGCAATTTAGAAATTGTGATGTTGAATAATAAATCTGCATTGTAGAAAAAGGTATGGTAATATTCCTCTTGACTTTATTTTATTATTCCAAGCAAGCATATGCTATAAGCATTTGTATTTTTCAGTAAAAGTGGTGTAATACCAGCACTATGGTTAGCACCTTAAGGAAATCGCTCAGCACCTTGTGATTAGGGGGAGAATCGGGTAAAAGTTGGAGGTTTTATGTGAAATCTTTATACCCGCTCTTCTCTGTTTTGTGGCTCAGTTCTCATCTGAATATTGCCTGTACCTGCTCTCTGTTCGCTGTAAAGATTTTGGCTGGCTTTCATTTCAAATCACAAACGAGGAAGCAATACTCTCACATTCCACAGTAAGAAAGTGTTTAGTAAAATACTACTGAGGACTAGATCTCCACATCTTTCTTTTTTTTCTTATTTAAACTCTGTCTAATTCTCCATTATCAGTGGCATGTGGCTCAATAATGTGTGAGTAACAACCTCAGCAATATATGTTTTTAAATATCTTGAATTGCTTTGTGTGGATGGCTTTTATGCTTTGGTTTGTGTTATTTATTTATTTTTTATTTTTTACTGAGAACTAACTGGGTGTCACCATTTGAAAATCTCTCATTTCAAAACTAGTAAATTAAAGAAACATGACTTCCACTTAATTTATGTAAACAAGTTGTCCTCTGGATTCATTCATCCATGCAAGATCATGGGGAGACAAGCACCAAAGGCAAGTAAAAAATGGCACCCCTGAAAAATCCTTCCATATAAGCTCCAAATCCCAGACTATCCTTTAATTTTCTATTGCACTTAACATTTATTTCTTTACATAAGATATACATGTATAAAAATCAATAATAGAGCATATATATATATCTATATTTACAAGATCCAAATTACTTTAGGTATTCTCTTCTGACAGAACGGAATATCAGAAAATTACACATAGTTTACAGGTTGTTGCAACAATAAGTTATTACAAAAGTCCACTGCTGAACTTGGCCTTGGTCTCCCTTCACTTTTCAATGTTCTGGAGACATCGTGTGGCCTTCTCCCTCCTATAGCAGGCGTCCATGTATAGATCCTTCTTCAAGAGTTTGCTGTCTGAGGAGAAATTAGTGCAAGAACTCCCCAACTCCTCCTCAGCTCCTGTGTTCCCCCCTCCTCGCCCCCCTGTGCCTACTCTCCATTTTGCTTATGCAGTCCATTGGGAGATTGGTAGTGAAGCAGGATCTGAGGGGGGCGGGGGGATTACTTTTCCCACGCTTGAACAGTAAGTGATTTCATGACCGCTCTCTCTCCACATCTGCGGGATTGGGTCTTGAGGTTGTCCATCACTTCGTGGTCAGAGCGTTGTGGCGTTCACAAGAAGCAAACAGGACCTACTTCTAGATGGTAGTGTGAGCTAGGGGTACTTTTTGGAAGGTTGTAGATGTCGACCACAGGGAGCAGGGTGGGGTCCAGGGAGTGGAACACAAAATGTGTCTGGTGCCAGCGCCCATCTTTCATCTAAACATCCAAAGCACAAAAGAACAAGAAGATTGTTACTTCTGCAGTGATATGATCTAAAACAGTGTTTCCCAAAGCTGGGGTCGGGACCCAAAGTGGGGTCCCGAAACATCAAGGTGGGGTCCTGAAAAGATTTTCTGAATTAATTACATTTTTGCCTTAGTTGTTACAAAAGAGTGAGGTTGGTATATTTAAAAT